TTGGTTCGTGCTTCCTCCATTCTGTTTTTAAACATTAATAAACATGCTCATGAATATTTTACTATAGAGCCTGCGTGCTCATGTTTGCCACGTGTGGCATTTGTTTTCAAACTATGTTTTCCGCTACGTATTCGATTGCTTATTATGTTGTTTATGGATGGCTTACGTGTGAACGATATTCGAGACGCCTTGTATAATATGGATGTGCTTGACTGTGGTTGACTATTCGTATTGTACGGCGGGTTGTTGACGTGTCCGGGCAGGTCCGGGGCGTGACACATCATGTGGCTGCGGGCCTTGGGTGGCGACGTTCGTCGCCACGGCGTTGTCTGCGGGCTTGATCCACTGTTATCCTGCCTGGACGTTCGTCGGGGTGGGCTGCCTTGTTGGTCTGGACGTTCGTCCACACGAGGGAGTAAATGGCCGATTCTCTATTTGGACCATTAACCCAACGCAAGTATTATATCTATTTTCATTACTACAAGTACATCTACCATTTAACACTTAAGTACTTATTTAGAACATAGGGCCACATATTGTCACAATAAGCAATACTTATCACCACACTTTCACTTTTACAATTCACTTTTCATTACTACGAGTCCATCTAATATTTAACATATAAGTGCTCATTTGCAACACAGTGCCACACATTGTCACATTAAGTAATACTTATCACCACATTTCACTTACAATTCATATATTGTGCGTCACTTTTCAACCTATCAAGCACATGAATCCTACCAAACACTGCTCCACGTAAAATTCGAACCGAAGCGGCATTAGAAATTAAGAGCTTTCAATTTACCATATTTTACTTTTCAACCAACTCATTTCCCTCCAATTTGTAACACATACATATTTACACTTAAATATATGCACTTATACTCAATCGCTAAACAATTTTAACATTTTGACTATCATTGTTTTTATAGTACTCCTGCGCCCACTTTTTCTATTTCATTCTCCACTAATGGTATATAGTAAATATACCATTTTATTCCATTCATTACTTTGACTAATTGTAATCTACTCCTCTGCAGCTCCACTTATGTCTCATACGTGTCCACATTTAATTAACAAAGTTCCCCATCTCCCCCCTACACAATACAACGACATGATTGAATTGGACAATATAATAAGTTTCATAGTCAGCTTTGCCTTTTGCACCCTTATCTTGAATATTGGTTCGTAAAGAAAAGGGAAAACAGTCAAATAGGTCATTGAACTTTCATAAAAAGTCATATAAGTGCTCATTTGCAACACAGTGCCACACATTATCACATTAAGTAATACTTATCACCACATTTCACTTACAATTCATATATTGTGTGTCACTTTTTAACCTATCAAGCACATGAATCCTACCAAACATTGCTCCACGTAATGTAACACCGCCCCCAAGTATTTGTACTTTATCAAATTATGTATTGAACCCAAGAAATGAATAAACGCATTTTACGTGATTGTGAATTTTTATCATTTCTTTTACGTGAATAGTAAAATTCACGTGGGGCCCACACCGGAAGCGGGGGCCGCCCGATATTATCGGGACCACATATTATATTCATTTGGGTCAAGATAATATGTGTATAATGGTGGATATCCTGGTTGGGCCATAGAAGTTATGCGAGTAACCTTTTGCGCATATAAAGCCCATTTACCGGTACCGAGGTAATATCAGATAAAAAGCCATAATAAGTTATGGAGACAATCATTCATTCTTATAGCCAATAATAATTGGAAGAATGATAGATATTTCATTTTACCCAATAAAATGAAATATAGTTGAAACAGTCCGGAAAATACAACTTTCGGGGCCGATTGTACATCTCGGGTCACAAAGGGATGACCTCCCACATAAGTGGGGGCCACCCCACGATTTTGGTCTTGCATATATGCAAGGGGATCCGTATGGGAGCTGGGGTTGGGGGCTGAATGATGAGGAGACCAAGTAAATCAACCAAGGGCCCCTCCCCACATTATTTTGGGCTATTGAGACAAAAGTGAGGGGTTCCCTCCACCCACCTTCAATCAGCTCGCCCAAGCCATCATCCTTGAGGAGAGAGGGACTGAAAATCACCATTTCCACCATCCCCATTCGAACCAAAGCTAAGGAAGAAGAAGGAGGGGAAAGAAGAGAGAAAGAAGGAGGAAAACTTGGGGATTAATAAGGTAATAACTCCATTAATCCCATTCCTTTTTTTTAATCTCCCAATATGGTTATGTAATCATACTTCATACCCATGGAACTGTTCTTCACATTAGATGTGAAGAATGAGGGGCTGGAAGGTTGGTTCATATCCAAAATGAACTTGGAGGACAAAGTTGACGGGTTCGTCAGAAAATAACCTCTTGAAGGTTATTTGTGTTGATATGGGTTTTATGATGATAAAACCTTGTTATTAACTTGTATAAGGTATTTCGAGAACTTTCACGGAGTTGAAAGGGTCGCCGGAGTTGTCGCCGGAGTTCGTTGAAGTTCACCGGAGTTTCACCGGGGCTAAATCGGAAAGGCTAGAACTTCATAAGCTTCAATAAGGTGAGAAGACGGCTATATGCTTTATAACTTTTGCGTGAGGCATGAGATTACCTAAATTAATCAATAATATGTTTTATGAATTGATTAATGGTATTAAAGCATGTGTTATGTTATGTTAAGAACTATAACAAGGTTGGAAAGCATGAAATGTAGGTTTGATTAGTGAAATGATTATAAATTGAGATGTGTGATGTTCCAAGGACCAAAACAGGTATTTTTGGATCAAGGACTTCAAGGAGTACATGCATGTAAAATTTCATGTTAATCGGACTCCATTTGGGCGGTCAAACGGGCGTTGACCGCCAAGTCAACTACAATACCCGACCGGGTATTGGCAAATACCCGACCGGGTATTTGCTAAAAAACTGCCCAGAGGGCTGCTGCCTCCTATACTCGATCGAGTATGGATAGGTACTCGATCGAGTATGCATGGAAAATTAGCCTTACGGGCTGCTGCCTCCTGTACTCGACCGAGTATAGGTGGGTACTCGATCGAGTATTGGGTTATACTCAAAACGGGTAGTTTTTGAGTAGGTTAACGTGGACTGATCAAGTGGGACCCGTCCACGTTAGTTACTAAGGATTGTTACATGACTATAGGACTAGGTATTGTCCATAGTTAAGTGAATGAAAGGTTAGCCATATCCAAGTTAGGGTTGGTAAGGAATAAGGTTGAGGTTGAGTATCCTCGGGACGGATAACGATCCTAAAACTCGGCGAGGTTGAGTATCCTCGGGACGGTAAACAATCCCAGAAACTCGGTGAGGTTGAGTATCCTCGGGACGGTAAACAATCCCAAGAACTCGGTGAGGTTGAGTATCCTCGGGACGGTAAACAATCCCAAGAACTCGGTGGGGTTGAGTATCCTCGGGACGGTAAACAATCCCAAGAACTCGGTGAGGTTGAGTATCCTTAGGACGGTAAACAATCCTAAAACTCGGTGGGGTTGAGCATCCCCGGGACGGTAAACACTCCCGAAACTCGGTAGGGTATTATGAAGGTAGAATGTAGCCCTTGAGCTAGGCATTCAGGAAAGAAAGGGGAAAGGTTGGGTAAACACCTTATCTCTAAAAGACTTTTTGTGAGAAAACGACCTACGGGTCAAGTATTTTACAAGTATATACAGTATGTATTATCTTGGGAATGGGGTAACAATGGTTACACCTATAAATATATGTATCATCCTATTTTTGGGTCTCGTGTCTGAAACATTAGTTATTCCTCATATAGCCTGCTTGTCACTAGTACTTCTTTCTGTGAAGTACTGACCCCTCCGGGGGCCCTCACTATTTTTCAGGTTAAGGCTAGAGTCCTGCTACCTGCACCTTTGCATAGGGTGGACTTCGAATAAGGAAGACTTGGTTCGTGCTTCCATTCTTATTTGACTTATGAAAATGCTCATGGATATTTGAACAATGTTTTCTATTAAACTATTGAAGGGCCTGCGTGCTCATGTATGCCACGTGTGGCTAATTACTAAACATATTTTACTTCCGCATTTGTTTGAGTAATATATTGATGTTGATTGTATGAGTTTACTAATCGGTTTGGCAATAGAATCTATCGGACGCCTTGTACGATTTGATAAGGATGAACTACGTTGTTCTTATTGGGTTGTACGGCGGTTGTCTACGTGGCACGGATGTGGTCCGGGGCGTGACAATTAAATGGTATCAGAGCCATCGATTTCTAAACTATATAATTCACCTCTCAATATAGTATCATCAAAAATGTTTTGGGCAAAACCATGAGCAAAAGTTTTTGTACTTAAGGAACCGTTGGAAACCAAGTTATTGACCTCTTATTGTTAAGACGGTACCCTTAACAGTTTGTTGGCCATAATGTTGGACCAAGTGGTGTCTTTTGTACTATTCCGTCAATCGACATTGATACGAGTCTAACGGCTCATTCCAAATTTCTTTCAGAAATGGAGGGTAGACGCATGGCTACGAGGAACAACCCGAGAGGGCAAACTCCGGTGACGTCCGAAGGGGCTAGCCAGGTTGCATCTCGGGGCTCGAGAGGCGGTAGAAGAGGCCGTGGAGGCCGTGGAGGCCGTGGAGGCCGGGGAGGCTGTGGAGGGCATCGGGCTCAAACCGTGAGCGATGGCCATGTTAGCTCGGTGCACGGAACTCACACCGAGGATTATGACTCTACATATGTTCCCGAGACGGAACATGAGGAGACCCCATATGATGGGGGTGATACGTACACCGATGATGACTACAATGAGAGTGATGCCAAGTTCGCCCAGATGGGTGAATTGTTTGAGTGGTATCAAAAAGAGAAACTAAGAAGAGATCTTAGGCGCCAAGCTAGGCGTGCTTCTCAGGGAGGTTCGGGTCAGGGAAGCCGGGGAGCTTCAGTTGCTATTCCTGTGGCGACACAGGGGGTACAAGGAGGAGGTTTCTGTGTAAGAATCTCCAAATACCTCAAGGAGGCGAGGGGCTTGGGGTGTAAGTCATTCGATGGCAAGGGTGACATATCTGTGGCTGCCGACTGGATCAAGAAACTAAATGAGGCTGCTAGGGATATGCAGATCGGGCTTGATATAAAGCTGACAGTTGCTACCAGGTTACTGGAGGGAGTAGCCGCAGTATGGTGGGAAGGCGTGGAAGGAAAGTTCCACGGTGAGACCACCTGGGAGAAATTTGAAGTAGAATTCTATAATCAGTACTACTCAGAGTTCGAGAAGAACCAAAAGAGGAAGGAGTACATGACCTTGGTACAAGAGGAGGGTTGCTCGGTGAGGCAATTGGAACAGAGGTTCCGGGACTTGGCACGATACATACCTGAGTACGCCATGGATGAGAACCGTATGGCTAATCACTTCTGGGATACCCTACAGTTGGATATCCGTGATCGGGCTACCTACAATCATCACATGACATTTAGTGAGATTGTGGATCAAGGGCTACTTGGGGAAGCCAAGTGGAATGAAAGGAAGAAGAGAGACGCCGAAGAGGCGAAGAAGAGAAGATGGGGAAATTCTGGACCCCAAGACCATTCTCGAAAACATCACTCCGGGAATGGAAGTTCATTTAGGGCGCCGGAACCGCCGGCAAAGAAGAACAAGGGTCCAGGAGGGCAAGGGCACAGTTTGGGGAGCGTGAGGCCACAAAGGTGTCTGAACTGTAACAAGAACCATGCCGGGAAGTGCAATGCACCACCCCGGTGTTACAAGTGTGGTAGCACAAGTCACCTCAAACTTTCTTGCCCTATGCTAAATGGAGGGGGACCATCGGGAGTCCCTGAAGGACCTACGCCTGGTAGGGGGCGTGCGGGACCATCTCAAGGCGGCACGGGAAGGAGCGGACCCACGGCTAGTAACGCCGCGTCCGTTAATCAAGGGAGGACCCAAGCACGGGTGTATGCAATGACCGAGGCCGATGCTCGGGCCAACCCGGACTCCATTGCAGGTAACCTCTTGATTACACATGCATTTAATACATTCATAAAAGCAAAACCTCAGGAAATACGAATGACCCGATCGGGTAACCCTATAGGCCCGACCGGGTATGGGCTATGTTGCAGCCCCGAGGTGTGTACTCGTTCGAGCAAGTTTAGCAGGACCCTTCGGTTTTGGCAAATCCAGCCATGCTCGACCGCGTATGGTTATATACTCGATCGAGTATTAGTAAACTTTTGTGTTCGGGGCGTGTACTCGATCGACCGTCGTGGGCAGAAAGCTCCTCGTTTAAAACTTTGAGTGATACCCGACCGGGTATGGGCATATACCCGACCGGGTATAGATGTTTGTTCGGGTTCGAGGTGTGTACTCGACCGAGCAGAAATTACAGGGGGTTGTTGTTTAAAAACCTGAACGATACCTGATCGGGTATAGACATATACTCGACCGGGCAGTGTTGACAGGGAGTTTCTTCTTAGGAGCCCGAGTGTTACCCGACCGGGTATGGAGAGTTACCCGACCGGGTATAGGGTGGCCCCAAGCTAGAATATTTTTCGTTCATTCCTTTTCAGTCGGGACGTTGAGTAGTGTGTCTTACATGACTTATATATGTAGGAACACTAAAGATCAACGGTAGACAAGCGAGAATTCTCATCGACACCGGGGCGCAACGTTCATTTATGAGCGAAGCGTTTGCCGAGGGTTTGGACATACCATTAACGGCGATGACACAACCTTTGTTGGTCTCTACACCGTTGGGAGATGATGTAGAGAGGAAGCACTACTATCCTTCATGTAATGTGGGGATAGGGGAGCACCGTCTAATGGGCGACTTTGTACCGTTAGACATGCTTGAGTTCGATGCCATACTCGGCATGGACTGGCTTGAGAAACACCATGCAAAGGTAGATTGCTACACCAAGGTGTTAGAATTAGAAGACGAAGAGGGAAATACTCTATGCTTCGAGGGAGATAGAGGAAAATTCAATCCCTGTATCATATCGGCCTTAAGGGCGAGGCGTTTGATGAAGAAAGGTTATCAAGCATACTTAGCCTATGTCATAGGCAAGGAAGGCAAAGGAAAGAGCCTCACGGAGGTGAGGGTGGTGAGTGAGTATCCAGAAGTTTTCCCTGAAGAACTCCCGGGACTCCCGGGACTCCCACCAGATCGAGAGATCGAGTTCGAGATCGAAGTTGAACCAGGCACCAAACCCATCTCCATTCCTCCATATCGAATGGCACCGGCTGAACTTCAAGAGTTGAAAGTTCAATTGGAAGAGCTACTAGATAACGGATTCATTAGACCGAGTCATTCACCCTGGGGAGCACCAGCACTCTTTGTAAAGAAGAAGGATGGCACAATGAGAATGTGTATCGACTACCGTCAATTGAACAAGGTCACGATAAAGAACAAATATCCTTTGCCAAGGATTGACGACTTGTTTGATCAATTACGGGGGGCAACCGTGTTCTCCAAGATCGACTTAAGGTCGGGCTACCACCAACTAAAGATCAAGGAGAGTGACATACCCATAAGTGCATTCCGTACAAGGTATGGTCACTATGAGTTCCTGGTGATGTCGTTTGGGCTTACAAATGCCCCCGCGGCATTCATGGACCTCATGAACCGAGTATTTCATCAATACTTGGACCAATTCGTCATAGTGTTCATTGATGACATTTTAATATACTCCAAAAACGAGGAAGAACACGAGAAACATCTAAGGCTCGTACTTGGCACACTGTGGGAGAAGCAACTCTTTGCCAAATTCTCTAAGTGTGAATTTTGGCTTGGGGAGATCGGTTTTCTCGGGCATGTGGTATCAGGTTCGGGCATTTCAGTTGATAGCTCGAAGATTGAAGCAGTCACTAATTGGGAGAGGCCCAAGAATGTGAAGGAAATAAGGAGTTTCCTTGGTTTAGCGGGATATTACCGCAAATTCGTGGAGAAGTTCTCGGTAATAGCATCTCCACTCACGAAGCTCACTAAGAAGGGAGCTAAGTTTGTGTGGGATGACAAGTGTGAGAAGGGGTTTCTTGAGTTAAAGAAACGATTGACTGAAGCACCAGTACTTGCCCTACCCGTGCAAGGGTTGGGGTATGACATCTATAGCGATGCTAGCATCCAGGGGCTTGGGTGCGTACTGATGCAATCGGGGAAGGTAATTGCCTATGCTTCTCGGCAACTGAGGAAGCATGAAGTGAATTACCCCACACATGACCTTGAGCTAGGGGCTGTGGTGTTTGCTTTGAAGATTTGGAGGCATTACCTCTACGGAGAGGTGTGTCACATTTATACTGACCACAAAAGTTTGAAGTACGTGTTCACTCAGAAGGAGTTGAACATGAGGCAGAGAAGATGGATGGAGTTAATCAAGGATTACAATTTGATTATAGATTATCATCCAGGTAAGGCTAACGTGGTTGCTGATGCCCTCAGTAGGAAAAGTTCCTCAGTGGTCTTACTCACATGCTTACAAGCATTGAGAGCACGCGTGGAGGTATCCACGAATGGGGCTCTATTGGCCAGATTTGAGGTGAGACCCACCTTATTAGACGAAATCAGGACGCGTCAAGGCAATGACGAGGAAATTCAGAAAATCCGGGGACGGATGCTGGTGGGACCCGTCGAGGGTTTCCGTGAGAGGGAAGATGGACTCCTACTATTCAGGGAGCGAGTGTGTGTGCCGTCAGACGAGGAGCTCCGAAAATCTATTCTTGAGGAGGCTCACTCATCTGCGTATGCCATGCACCCGGGTGGAACAAAGATGTACCGGGACTTGAAGGAAAGTTACTGGTGGTCAGGGATGAAGAGAGAGATTGCAGAATATGTGAGTCGTTGCCTTACCTGTCAGCAGGTTAAGGCAGAGCACCAGCACCCAGCGGGGTTATTACAGCCACTTACCATCCCAGAATGGAAGTGGGAGCATGTTACTATGGACTTCGTGGTAGGTCTACCACGCACGGTTAGGAACTATGATGCAGTGTGGGTGGTGGTTGATAGGTTAACCAAGAGTGCTCATTTCCTTCCTATCAACACTACTTATACGCTTGAACGACTAGCCAAGTTGTACACAGATGAGATTGTGAGACTGCATGGGGTTCCAGTTACGATAGTATCGGATAGAGACCCACGGTTCACATCACGGTTTTGGCCTAAGTTCCAGGAATCCATGGGAACAAAGTTGAGGTTTAGCACGGCATTCCATCCTCAAACGGATGGGCAATCTGAACGGGTGATTCAGATTTTGGAGGACATGTTGAGGGCATGTGCCTTGGAGTTCCAAGGAAGTTGGGACAACCAGTTGGCTTTGGTTGAATTTGCTTATAACAACAGCTATCAAGCAAGTATAGGCATGCCTCCATACGAGGCATTGTATGGGAGGAAATGTCGAACACCTTTGTGTTGGGATGAGGTAGGCGAGGCTAAGCTTGAGGGCATCGAGCTAGTCGAAATCACCAAGGAGAAGGTGAGGGTTATTCAGGATAGACTCAAGGCTGCCCAAGATCGGCAGAAGAGCTATGCAGATAAACGACGAAGGACGTTAGAGTTCGAGGTCGGCGATGAGGTATTTCTGAGGGTGTCACCTTGGAAAGGGATCATCAGGTTCCTCAGTCGGGGTAAGCTTAACCCACGCTACATAGGCCCATTCAAAATCATTGAAAGGATTGAGGTTGTAGCGTACCGGCTTCAGTTAACTCCAGAATTAGAAAAGATTCATAACGTATTTCATGTTTCTATGCTCAAGAAGTATGTACGGGACCCGTCACATATTCTTGAGAAACCACCGGTAGAAATCCGGGAAGACCTTCACTATGCGGTGCAGCCGGTAAAGATCATGGACCGACAGGTAAAGAAGCTAAGGAGTAAAGAGGTACCAATGGTGAAGGTACTTTGGAAGAGTGATCGTGTCGAGGAGCAAACTTGGGAAGTGGAGACCCTGATGAGGGAACAGTATCCATTTCTGTTTGACTAGACACGTGGATTTCGGGGACGAAATCCCAAATAAGGGGGTAGAACTTGTAACACCGCCCCCAAGTATTTGTACTTTATCAAATTATGTATTGAACCCAAGAAATGAATAAACGCATTTTACGTGATTGTGAATTTTTATCATTTCTTTTACGTGAATAGTAAAATTCACGTGGGGCCCACACCGGAAGCGGGGGCCGCCCGATATTATCGGGACCACATATTATATTCATTTGGGTCAAGATAATATGTGTATAATGGTGGATATCCTGGTTGGGCCATAGAAGTTATGCGAGTAACCTTTTGGGCATATAAAGCCCATTTACCGGTACCGAGGTAATATCAGATAAAAAGCCATAATAAGTTATGGAGACCATCAAATTAAAAGTTGGGGAAAAAGCATTCATTCTTATAGCCAATAATAATTGGAAGAATGATAGATATTTCATTTTACCCAATAAAATGAAATATAGTTGAAACAGTCCGGAAAATACAACTTTCGGGGCCGATTGTACATCTCGGGTCACAAAGGGATGACCTCCCACATAAGTGGGGGCCACCCCACGATTTTGGTCTTGCATATATGCAAGGGGATCCGTATGGGAGCTGGGGTTGGGGGCTGAATGATGAGGAGACCAAGTAAATCAACCAAGGGCCCCTCCCCACATTATTTTGGGCTATTGAGACAAAAGTGAGGGGTTCCCTCCACCCACCTTCAATCAGCTCGCCCAAGCCATCATCCTTGAGGAGAGAGGGACTGAAAATCACCATTTCCACCATCCCCATTCGAACCAAAGCTAAGGAAGAAGAAGGAGGGGAAAGAAGAGAGAAAGAAGGAGGAAAACTTGGGGATTAATAAGGTAATAACTCCATTAATCCCATTCCTTTTTTTTAATCTCCCAATATGGTTATGTAATCATACTTCATACCCATGGAACTGTTCTTCACATTAGATGTGAAGAATGAGGGGCTGGAAGGTTGGTTCATATCCAAAATGAACTTGGAGGACAAAGTTGACGGGTTCGTCGAAAAATAACCTCTTGAAGGTTATTTGTGTTGATATGGGTTTTATGATGATAAAACCTTGTTATTAACTTGTATAAGGTATTTCGAGAACTTTCACGGAGTTGAAAGGGTCTCCGGAGTTGTCGCCGGAGTTCGTTGAAGTTCACCGGAGTTTCACCGGGGCTAAATCGGAAAGGCTAGAACTTCATAAGCTTCAATAAGGTGAGAAGACGGCTATATGCTTTATAACTTTTGCGTGAGGCATGAGATTACCTAAATTAATCAATAATATGTTTTATGAATTGATTAATGGTATTAAAGCATGTGTTATGTTATGTTAAGAACTATAACAAGGTTGGAAAGCATGAAATGTAGGTTTGATTAGTGAAATGATTATAAATTGAGATGTGTGATGTTCCAAGGACCAAAACAGGTATTTTTGGATCAAGGACTTCAAGGAGTACATGCATGTAAAATTTCATGTTAATCGGACTCCATTTGGGCGGTCAAACGGGCGTTGACCGCCAAGTCAACTACAATACCCGACCGGGTATTGGCAAATACCCGACCGGGTATTTGCTAAAAAACTGCCCAGAGGGCTGCTGCCTCCTATACTCGATCGAGTATGGATAGGTACTCGATCGAGTATGCATGGAAAATTAGCCTTACGGGCTGCTGCCTCCTGTACTCGACCGAGTATAGGTGGGTACTCGATCGAGTATTGGGTTATACTCAAAACGGGTAGTTTTTGAGTAGGTTAACGTGGACCGATCAGGTGGGACCCGTCCACGTTAGTTACTAAGGATTGTTACATGACTATAGGACTAGGTATTGTCCATAGTTAAGTGAATGAAAGGTTAGCCATATCCAAGTTAGGGTTGGTAAGGAATAAGGTTGAGGTTGAGTATCCTCGGGACGGATAACGATCCTAAAACTCGGCGAGGTTGAGTATCCTCGGGACGGTAAACAATCCCAGAAACTCGGTGAGGTTGAGTATCCTCGGGACGGTAAACAATCCCAAGAACTCGGTGAGGTTGAGTATCCTCGGGACGGTAAACAATCCCAAGAACTCGGTGAGGTTGAGTATCCTCGGGACGGTAAACAATCCCAAGAACTCGGTGAGGTTGAGTATCCTCAGGACGGTAAACAATCCTAAAACTCGGTGGGGTTGAGCATCCCCGGGACGGTAAACACTCCCGAAACTCGGTAGGGTATTATGAAGGTAGAATGTAGCCCTTGAGCTAGGCATTCAGGAAAGAAAGGGGAAAGGTTGGGTAAACACCTTATCTCTAAAAGACTTTTTGTGAGAAAACGACCTACGGGTCAAGTATTTTACAAGTATATACAGTATGTATTATCTTGGGAATGGGGTAACAATGGTTACACCTATAAATATATGTATCATCCTATTTTTGGGTCTCATGTCTGAAACATTAGTTATTCCTCATATAGCCTGCTTGTCACTAGTACTTCTTTCTGTGAAGTACTGACCCCTCCGGGGGCCCTCACTATTTTTCAGGTTAAGGCTAGAGTCCTGCTACCTGCACCTTTGCATAGGGTGGACTTCGAATAAGGAAGACTTGGTTCGTGCTTCCATTCTTATTTGACTTATGAAAATGCTCATGGATATTTGAACAATGTTTTCTATTAAACTATTGAAGGGCCTGCGTGCTCATGTATGCCACGTGTGGCTAATTACTAAACATATTTTACTTCCGCATTTGTTTGAGTAATATATTGATGTTGATTGTATGAGTTTACTAATCGGTTTGGCAATAGAATCTATCGGATGCCTTGTACGATTTGATAAGGATGAACTACGTTGTTCTTATTGGGTTGTACGGCGGTTGTCTACGTGGCACGGATGTGGTCCGGGGCGTGACACGTAAACTTCGAACCGAAGCAACATTAGAAATTAAGAGCTTTCAATTTACCATATTTTACTTTTCAACCAACTCATTTCCCTCCAATTGGTAACACATACATATTTACACTTAAATATATGCACTTATACTCAATCGCTAAACAATTTTAACATTTTGACTATCATTGTTTTTATAGTACTCCTGCGCCCACTTTTTCTATTTCATTCTCCACTAATGGTATATAGGAAATATACCATTTTATTCCATTCATTACTTTGACTAATTGTAATCTACTCCTCTGCAGCTCTACTTATGTCTCATACGTGTCCACATTTAATTAACAAAGTTCCCCATCCCCCCCCCCCCCCCTACACACACAATACAACAACATGATTGAATTGGACAATATAATAAGTTTCATAGTCAGCTTTGCCTTTTGCACCCTTATCTTGAATATTGGTTCGTAAAGAAAAGAGAAAACTGTCAAATAGATCCTTGAACTTTCATAAAATGTCAAATAAGTTCTTATATAGGAGGCTCTGTCCGACCGTCGCAATTTGGGGCGGTTCCCGGTGGAATTTTTTGATGAAATTCATCAAGTCTAGTTTACTCATACCAAATGTCAGCTAAAACTTCAATTGGGAACGCATTCAAATTATTATTTTTGTACATTTTACTTCACTGCAAATTACATATTATCGGTATTATATGAAGTTACAACTTCTTATGCATGGATTACATTTGTTTATATGTGACTTACGTCTTAATGCAGGCGTTTTACACCACAAGATAAACTCTGCTAATGATCAAAAATGATTTTTTTAACTATATCATTTTTATAGCCCTAATATTAAAAAATATATTCACTATTTACAGAAAGTAATTGGGCAATAGGATCATTTTTTTCATTGTATATTTGTAATTTGTATACATTGAAACCAATGTTTATAATATATATATATATAAGATAGTTTACATTTCAACTTTTCTAGATTTACATTTTAATGTACACGAGTTATATCTTAATGTACGCGTGTTACACAACTAAATAAACTCTTGCTAATAATAAAAAACCGATTTTTTATCTACATCATTTTTTATAGCCCTAATATTAAAATTAAAACATATTCGCTATTTACAAAAAGTAATCGAGCAATTAAGATTAGTTTTTCATTGTGTACATTGTCCTGCAAGTACGAGATAGTTACTTTATCCAAATCTCTAGTATTGCTCTCACAAACCAGTAATTTTGAAAATTAATAAAACTCACTTGTCCAATTTATTTAGAAAAACAGAGACATATTCAGTTTTTTGGCTTGAGAATATGATGAAATAAAGCAAAATGACTCACTAAACTGTATGCGCTTCTTTGTTATGAAGCATGCAATTTTGGACGCGATTTTCACTATGGGTCATCCAGAAACAGTCTCTCTGTGCTTTACTACAGGGTAAGACTGCGTACATCTGACCCCCCTTACCCTACCGTAGGTGGGAGCCTTTGCGGCACTGGGGTAAATGAATATGAAAAATGAAATGATGTTTTTGAAAAACATTTCCAACAAAATTTTTAGTTTTTTCCATTTTTCTTTTTCTAGTTTTCCAGTTTTTTAGAAATGTGAAAAACACCTTTATTATTAGTATAAACTTGTCGGGGACCCTGGGGTACATGTTTTTATCAATTAATAAGTTAGTGGAGTAAAGTAGTTTTGTCTTTAGAGTTGGAAACCTAACCAAACAGCCCCTTGTTTTTAACTTCTTAAAGCTGCAACTGTAGCAAACATCTGTGTTGTTTGTGCTATGAGTTTGTTATTTCAGTTATAAAAGTAGGGCGGGCGGCCTTTGTGGGTTTGTTACTTCATTCATCCTTCCAAAATATTTGTATGTTAGTTGGCATTGCACTAATTTCTCCGTCGTTTTCTGAATCCAGTTAGATGCTTTTTTGTCTGAATGAATTCAATGAATAATTCATCATTCCATTCTCCAACCTTCCTACTCCATCTCCTCTCAGGTAAATACTTCTTCCTCTGTTCCATTTGATTTTGATTCCTTTATCTTTTATAGATCTGCTTACCGTGTATAACATTCTGTCAACCGAAGGCGTGATCTTCAGAGCTGTTCGAAGATTCCAGTTTAATATCTAACCATATATTCTCTTTGATTCATGCAACGGACTGATTGAGCGATTTAGGAATATGACTTTGATGAATGTCGTCGTTGTTGTAGTACAAGTGGTTCCCTGCTCTACAAATCCTAGTATAGACACCCTATGTTCGACAAAAGGATAATGATAAATGGGTTTGTTCACATGATGTTAGATACTTAATACATCAGAGGAACTGACCCTACCTAGAGTAAGCGGGCATCCACAAATCATAATTAAACCATACTTTAGTACCACGTTAAATCGTGTCTAACTAACCTTAAAAGGAATCTCAAAAGGTGAGGTTGCCTCACCGAGTTTGAGATGCTTAAAAACACACATGACATTGTATATGCGAAAGGGAAAAAGTGTCAAATTTGCTTCATCTAATCTTTTTTGGGATAAGGGTCAGTCTGGTCCTCGAAGTTGCAAAAAAGGTCAAATAAGTCCTTATGTAGAAGATTTTGTCCGGACGTGCCATTTGAGGTGGCTCCCGGTGGAATTTTTTGATTAAATGTTTTGAGAATCTTACTCATTAAGTCTAGTTTACTCATACCAAATTTCAGATAAAAATTCAATCGGGAAGACATTCAAATGAATTCTTGAAGATAACTGTGCCGTTAAAAGCGTAGTTATCTTCAAGAATTCATTTAAATGTCTCCCCGATTGAATTTTTAGCTGAAATTTGGTATGAGTAAACTAGACTTAATGAATAAGATGCTCAAAAAAATTAATCAAAAAATTCTACCGGGAGCCACCTCAAATGGCACGTCCGGACAAAATCTTCAATATAAGGACTTATTTGACCCCTTTTTTGCAACTTCGAGGACCAAACTGACCGTTTACTCAATCTTTTTTTATTCTTCACCTCATTCGCGGCTAGGCGGAAAAATGTCAACATCACCCTACAATTTTTAGAAGTACTTGGGGTGATATGATTTTTATTTATCCCATACAATTTATTGTGGACGAACCACAACAGTGGAGAAAGACTGAATCTGTTTCTCTTTTTGGTATACCAAGAAACCATATTGTTTTTATGAAGCACGTGGAAGTGTTTTTTTTTGCTTTTCATATTGCTAATACAAGAGAATAGATAAGGGCATGGCATATAATTCTGCATCCTACTCTCTAGATGCAACATTGAGCTCTTGAAACATACCCAGAGTCCTATTAATTAGCCACTATTATTCTCTTTTCTCCTAATCTATTGATTGTCACATTAATAATTTGTATTTTAGCATGACTTTTTCCAATGGCTTTAGACAAGAAAATAGTGATCTAAGAATTACTCTGTAGTTTGTAATCCTGTATTTTAGCTTAACTTGAATTGAAAAATGGTGAATAAATACTCATGTGTGAATGATCTAACAATTAGCCCACATTATATAGTTATTCTGATCTCCATGGAAATGAAAAATGGTGCAGCTATATTGGAAATGAAAAATGGCACAACATTAATGTAAATGGAAAATGGCGTGGTACTGTAGCTTGCGTCATTTTTCATTTCTATCCCTTTTTCTAAAGCTTTCGAAAAAGAGTTTGATGTGATGATTACGCTATTTTGGTGCAAAAACTAGAACAAAGGGTAGGAGATGACATTAATCTATACTTGCCTGGTCTTTTGCATTACTATAGTCAATGTGAGATGCTTATCGGTTTAAACTGGTCTACTTCTATTTTGTTTAGTTTCAGTGGTGATTTATTTCGGGCAACTATGGAGAAGACAGATCACCAGCAAAAGTTATATACAAAGATGAGGCTCTGGGAGTTTCCGGACAAATATGTCATTGAGCCTTCTGATGGATCTTCTGGTTCACGTTTGGCAGTCAGTAGGGAAGATGCTTCAATGAGTTTAATTGGTTAGTTGCTTAAACTATTACTTTGTTAACCTTTCCATCTCATCAACCTAAGAATGCCTTTTGGATGTAATTTTGCTTGTCTAGATGATATACCGCATTGCAGTTCACTACGTGTTCCTAAAATTAAGGAAATATTTGGTGTTGTTGGGATGCTAAAGCTTGTGGCAGGCAAGTCAACCTTAGTCACTATATGATCCATATAGCATAAATAAATACTCTTAATTTCCATTTATTATAATCGATGCAAATAGTAGATTTATTGTTTACACCGCTTTAGCTTTGAAATGATCCTTTAAGTGAAGAAAAATTAGGGACAGTTCGGTATTGGCTGAAATGACTTCATCTACTAAATTTTCTGAAATGATAAGCAGAACAAACCGAATAAGGCTACTAAACGTAACCTTAATTTCATAACCATAAGTTTTAAAACACGAGATTATCACAACTAGAATTCTCACAACATTTTCCATTGATTGCTTTCAGGATCATACTTAATAGTCATAACGGAACGTGAACATGTTGGTTCTTACATGGGCCATCCAATTTTTAGAGTTGCATCATTGAAGGTGTTACCATGTGACCATTCTCTCAAGAACTCTCCGATAGAACAGGCTGGTTTCTACTTTTTTTTACCTTCCTTCTCTTGAAGATTCTTCTAAGTTCTAAGGGTGCATTTGGAGCCCTGGTAGGGGAATAAAATGCGT